AGCCGGAGAAAAACCCAAGCGCCCCAGAAGGTGGTAGGCAGCTTCCCTGTTCACCGAGGGAAATGCCTTGCGGATGTCGAAGAACACCAGCGAGAGAGCCTGTCCAAGATCCACAGCAGCCCCGGGGGCGTGGGAAACCTCTGCGGCCAGCTCCAGTACGACGCGGACCACAAACAGGGCATCTTGAACGCTTCTGTGTCGGCGGTTTCCGAACTGAAAATCGGATAATAGCTTATGATGTTCGGCGTAAGTCATCGCACGTGTGGCGACGATCCTGCCGAGGAGGCGAGAGATGATCGATAGCAGAACTATGGTGCGATAGTTGTCCAAGTCCGCACGGGCACCTTCACCCTCGTGTAGAATGATTCCCGCGCCAGCCCGTAAAGAAGCCCCCCAATCTGTGGCGGGCGCAACCCAGAGATGGCACAGCAGCCGGTAGATCTCAGCACGAGCTCGTGGTCCTGCGCGGCGCAACATATTGGCGGTAACGCCGTCTTTGCCCGACGCAGTCTCACGAAGAGCCGCCAGCGCCGCGAAGAACCCCCCCCTGCTGGGGATGTGTCCCAAGGCGGGGCAGACCGGCCGCCCGGGGACTACAGCGTCGATGGTCTCCTGGCCGACATCCCCCTTTGCGACAGAGAGGGCAAGATTATGATCACGCAGCTGCTTGAGAGAGAACGGAGTGGCACCGGCGAAGTCCACTCCTGAGACGACGACCCCAAGATACCGGGGTTGCACGTGGAAGCGACCCCAATCGCGGTGGTTCATCAAGTTGTTCAGCTGGCTGACCACATTCTTGACGAAGCGCCCCCGGGCCCCCCGTAAGAAATCTTTCCGTTTACGCTTGGCCTTCCGGAAGGCAGCCAAGGCGGCCTACTCTCCCTCGGTCTGCTGCGACGCACGTAAAGCCTTCCAGCACTGAGTCACCTCATGGTCGCGGAGCTCGAGCGCATCCTTGTCACGAGGAGCCAGAGGAACACCTGGGCGAGAACGAAGTCGTGGACCGGCCGCTCTGTCGACCGCACCGCGGAGGAGCGCAGCCAAGTCGCCCCAGCTGACAGTGGGGGGACAAGGAGGTACGGGCGCCGTCTGCTCAAGCAGCGCCGGGGAAGAGGGCGCAGTCGTTTTGCCCACCACCCGTCGCCGAGGAAGATCCTGAAGAATGCCCTGCAATCCTCGAGTGGCCAGCTGAGCTGATCGGCAGCCTCGTTCCCTGGATTGCCCTCGCGTCCCTTCACCCACGCGAAGTGCACCGAGATGCGAGCACGGACGCGAGCCAACAGCTTCTGAGCCCGGCGAATCAACGACCCGTTGGCCCGGGCCTGCCAGAGTCCCTGAGTAGATGAGGCTGCATACTCCGAATCCTAGTGAACCACCAAACGAGTAAGCTGCGGTAGATGGTCCAGAGCATACAATAGGCACTTGACGGTTGCACTGAGCTCCGCCGTGTTGTTCGCGCGCCGCCAAGCGCCCAAGAAATCCGAGCTCGTCACTGAAGTCGCGACCAGACCACAGCAATCAGAAGAGACGCCCGCCTTCCAGACCTGCAGGCGCCAGCCGGCACGCGCGGGCGCCGCGGCGACCCCCTGCTCGACAGTGGCGGGCTCGGCACCTCCATCAGTATAAGCGCGAAGAACAGAGCGGTCTCAGCCCACCCTTCGCTCGGTTCAAAAGCTGGCTCAGCAGAGACACCAACTTGCTCAGGGCAGGAGTCCACCAGCGTCGCGCACCGTTCACGAGAGGCCTCCGCCTGCAAAGATGGGCCCATGAGAACCTCGGCCTGGCAGCGCTCACGCCCATCTGCGGGAGGAGCTTGGCGCGCCCAGTTTCGATGCCTCTGGCCGCGGTCGCGGCGAGCAGTTGTCCTATCGGGAGTCGCCACATGGAGCGTTAATGTCTTGCCGAAGTGGTCGGCGACCCCCGCAACGGTGCGCAGACCAGGCTGGGCCCGCCCGCGGAGGGCAGGAGCGAGAAGAAAGCCGTCGAGTTCGCACCACTGGCCCGTCTGCGCGTGTCTCCACGCGCCTCGGTGACGACGCGGAAGCCAGCTATCAACATGTCGTAGCGTGGCGGTCTGCAAGAATTCCTTGAGAAGTCGACCTCCCGTCGTGGTAGGAGTGGAGAGTCCACGAGAACCAACTAAGCGACCATCGCCGTCCTCCCTGCCAATGTGCGCATTGAAGTCGCCACCCCAGATCTGAGGACGATCCTGTTCGCGGAGCTGTCGTGAGAGAGCCGCTGCATGAGAATAATGGTCCCGCTTGGGCCCTACCAGTGGGCCAGTCGGACTGTAATTACTGACATGCGAGACTGTGCGGTCGTGCGCGGTGATGGCGAGTGCCAGAAGCCGGTGGGAGTCGCCCCTCCAAACGGCAGCTCGGCCCTCCGCCTCCCAGAGAGCAGCCGCACAGTGTCGTAGGAGCAAGCCCACAGCACCTCGAGCAACCAGAACATACTCTTCAATGTAGACGACGTGAAGTGTAAGATCACGATAATGAAGGTCAGACAGAAACAGTATATCACTACGTTGTGAACGTGCAAGATGAATAAGATGACGTAGCTTACAAGCGTGCTGAATGAGATCCCACTGCAAACCCTGCGAATTCATGAGAGAGATGCGAAGTGCACGAGAAGGAAGAAGATGACGAGAGATGCGATGGAGACGACGAACACGATCCCTGCGGCGGCCGCAGCGCTTTGTGCCACCCTTCACTGCACGCAACCACTGCGGGGCACACGGCTCGTTCCCCAACTCCACAACGGGGCAATGGTTTCGCGACCCCGAAGAGTCGCCGGCACCAGGGCTCACCCCGCGAGACAAGCCCTGCAGCCGCAACGGGTGCTCGTTGGCCGCAACCGCCGCCGCTTCAGTAGCGACCAACCAGCACAGCCGGCGGAGCGGATCCCCTTCCAGGCATCGTGGAGCCCAGCACCCAGTGGAAGTGGTAGAACATCCCGATGATCGCCATCATCACCAGCCTTCCGTTCGCGGTCTCGGCGTTCAGCCTGCGGGACTTGGTCTCGCCGGCCGGCAGGGTGCTGCCGTTGGGCACGCCCAGGGCGCCGCCGTGCACGTAGTCGCCGAGAGCCCACGAGGGGCCGCGCCGAAGCCCATCAGCGCCTGCACGCACAACGCGCTTTCGAAGGCGCGCGGCGGGGAGTCCGCGCACAGCGCCCAGTTGTCCCAGGCGCTGCTCGCGACGCCGTCCTGGAAGAGCCCGTTGGCCGCCATCCTGGCCAGGCAGCCGTTCGCGATCTCGGCACTCAGACTCGAACTTCACCCCGAGAGACGGGGGGGCCTCGCCGAGGAAACTTGTCAGCGGCCTCGGGCGTGATGTAACCCGTCGTGGCGGCTCTCATGCTGGATCTCGGCGGCGGCGGCGGCGGCGGGCGCCGCGGCGGGCGACGCGGCGGGCGCCGCGGCGGGCGCGGCAGTGCCCGCGGCCGCTGCCAGCCAGCCGCCGCCCCCAGCGACACGATCAGCTGCCGCCGCCAGCGGCCCGCCGGCGGCGGCGACGGCGGCGGCGGCTGTCGCGTCGGCCGCGGCGGGCGCACCGGCGGCAGCGGCGGCGCCCGCGGCCGCGGCGGCCACAGCGGCGGCCGCCGCGCCCGCGGCGGCCGCGGCCGCCGCGGCCGGCCCCAGCGCAGCAGCACGCGCCACAGCGCCGGCGGCCGCGGCGGCCTCGCCGCGGCCGGCCGCCGCGACGGCCGGCCCCAGAGCAGCAGCACGCGCCACAGCGCCCGCGGCCGCGGCGGCCTCGCCGCGGCCGGCCGCCGCGACGGCCGCGGCGGCCGCGGCGGCGGCGCCGCCGGTCGCGCCGAGGCCGCCAGGGGCCCCACAGGGCCGCGGGGGCGGCAGGCCGGCCAGGCCGGCCGCGGCGGCGGCGCAGCCGGCGGCGGCGCGCCGCTGCCGCCGCCGCCGCGCCAAGCGCGACACCATGGCCGAGCGAGCGGGGGCGCGGAGGGGGGCGACCCCCTCCACGCCCCCGCGGGCGGGGATGCCGAGAACCGAAGGGCGGGGGCCCGGCCAGCCGCTGAAGCCCGCTTGAGCCAGAGCGGCTTGAGCCAGATGGCTTGAGCCGCTGGTGGGGTTACTTTTTGTTCGGCGGCCCGCAAGGAAAAGTCCCGAGGGCATGTCAATCACAGGCAATGGGGCGCAATGCCAAATAACTAGTGAAGGCCAGGCCACGAAAGGTGGATGCCGCCAAGAGGGCGCCAACCCGCGCACGTGCAACATGCAGAACAGGACGACAGCGGCGCCAGGCCAGAATACAAAACCGACCGTCCTAACAACAGCCGACCAGACCAGCAGGCAAACACATACCCTGCACGGGACAAATTCAAGAGAACGGACCGTCCTGACGACAACCAGCCGCGCTGGCAGGAAGGCACACAACCAAACCTTCCCTTGCCCTAACTCCCACACCTGCTCCAGCTCCTTCTACCACTCCTGTTCCTAACCACCCCCCGCTCACGCTCAGATTCCTACGTTTGCTCCTGCTCCCCTCCTGCTACTACTCCACAGCCTTGTCCGTACATTGCTCATTCTCGCTTCCTGCCCTATCTCCTCTACTCATATTTTCTTGCATACGCTCGCCTCTACTCTCTCCTCCACTCCTCTCTTTCTCATCTCTTCTACCTGTTCGCTCTGCTTTTCTCCCTCGTGCTTATCCGCTCTCCGGTCTCCTTCAGGATCCTCTCCTTCAGCATCCCTGTATCCATCACAGTATTATTGTTTCTTATATATATGTCTCTCTTTCTCTCCCTCGCTCTATCTCTCTGCGTTCCTTGCCCAGCTGATCTGAGATAGCTGGCTCGATGGAAACGCTGGAGGTAATCGTTCAAAAAGGTGAGGCGCATAACTGGGGCCTCAACACAATCATTGCTGAACGCTCGGGCCGAATGCAACTGACTACATAAAAGGCCTCTTGGACGGCCGTCGGAACAGAAACACAACCAGCGTACCGACAAGCAGGTGGGCTCATTCGCTACAGCGGGGCCTTGATCACAATCTCGGCGCCGTCGTCCTTCCTCTTTGCCAGCATCACCTCTCGCAGAGGCCGCAGCAGCGCGCAGCTGGGCGTCTCAGGGATATCGCAAGTCGCTGGCTGGGACAGAGAAGACGCGTGCGGAATGCAGACAGAGCGTTGTCAGAAGGAAGCTTCAATCACGAACGAAGCCCCTCTTCGTAACACACTAAGCTGCGACTTTCCACAGAAAGCCTAAGGGCAACCTAAGAACAACTGCAGAACAACTTTTGAAGAACACTGACGCCCTCCCCAATGAAAAGGGTTCATTATTCAACGGCTCGACTGCACAACTCCAAGCTGTCGCGCACCAGCATTGCACGGACGGGGGGAGCGCAACGCCGCCTTGCCCTTCTCCCCGCCGTTGTAGATCTCGTCGGCGAGGTCAAACAGACCTCCGATGGACTCGCCGTCCTCCCGCGCGGCGGCGGGGGCCGCCGTCCACGAGAGGGGCGGCTGGCACGCGAGGGGTGCAGCACGAGAGCGACTGGCAGGCACTCGGAGCGGCGAGATGTGCACGAGGTGGCCTCCCAAATCAGCGGCGCTGGAACTCAGGGCAAACAGAAGAGGCACAAACGTGCACTTCCGACGTTCCGCGCGGATCTCTGCGATCTGCGCCAGGCCCCCATCCTTGGCGCGCAGAGCGCGCCAGGGGCCCCGCCAGAGGCGCCGCCAGGAAGGCCCAAGGGAAAATCATAGAAATCCGCGCGGACCGCAAGAGTTTACGTTTATGCTGGTTTCGCTTCTTCGATGGAAGTAAAAGCACGCAGGAGAACAGATACGCCATGGGGAAGACAGCAACAACACCAGGTTGGTGCGATGCCAGCCCTACCTGCGGCACACGGGATATGTGTAGAACCGGTTCGCGTGGATCCCAATTCAAATGCGAAATGACGGGCACTTCAATGATTATGACTCACGGTCGATACGAAAAACGAAAAACGAATAAACCTATGAGAATGTGGACAAGAACTCTACGGTCATCTGTTCCAGCGACACGCGTGCTCGAGCCATAGGACGCACATGTTTTTATGCATGCATCGTTCCACCCTAATCATGCCGTCTAAAACACAGCGGAGGGGAGTGGAAACAGAAAGGGTAGCACTGGCAAAACAGAGTGCGAACGGCAAATGTTCTCTTTCACCTGGGTTGCCACAGCCAACAAACAGCATGACCATCTCTGGGAACGGGCTACAGAAAAAAAACATGATGATGATGTGGACGGCAGGAAACAAGTATAATCAAATGTGGAACGCTCTTCCGTTCGTCGTCGTCGCCGTCGCCGATGCCCCCCTCTTTCGCTGGGCCCTCCTCCCCAAGCGCGCCAGCCAAAGCGAATTCCAGCGGCAACGTCGTATATGGGTCGAAGGGAATCCCCCCCCCCTTTGATCCCTTCCCCGCCGGCGGCGGAAGTCCCGACGGGGGTCTCGGGAGGGGTCCCCAGGGGGACCCGGAGCAAGTCCCAGGTCAGAACGCCCCCCGCCGATGCGGGACGATTGCGGTATAATTCGCGTGCTGTAGCACGCGCAGCATGCGACGCATTATCGCACGTGCGCTCGCACTCACGCTTGTCTCTTCTGATTTGAACATGAAACGCGAAACTCCTACATGTGTATATGTCGATGCGCGTGTATGGCTACGCGTTGCATGTGCCAACTCAAGCAGTCCATGGCCTCAAGTAAACCGATAAAGCGTGCCACTTGCCTCACCAACAAAACAACCCGCAATTCATATCGAATGGGCAAGCACTGCTCATCCAACCATACCTCGACTGCGAGCTCCAGGCGCAGTCCGCGCCGCACGCCAGCAATGAGAGCCAAGCCGTGTAGTCCGTTGAAAGGAGCGCCAGATGTCATCCGATGGACAACCGATAGCCGCCAGCACTTAGCTTAGACTTGCGTGCCCTTGTTCTCGCGCCTCAAAGAAAATCCTGTCCGCTTAGCAGACTTCATCCCCGGGAGCACGCGAACTTCAAGCCTTGTCATAACAACAGGCTCCCGCACAGCAGCCAGCCTTTTCGCAGCTGCCAGCCTGCGCAGAGCAATGCCCATAGCTGGCGCCCCCTGAGTTCCGGCAGCGGCATTATGCCTTGCACGCTCGATATTGCGCTTGATCCCCTGCCTCTCTTGAAACCAAGGCAGAGAGGCACGAACGATAATATCAGATCCCTCGCGCCTCAAGAGCCCGCAATAAGATAGCCAGTCAGCAGGTGAGATTACCATAGATGCGGCGGCTCTTGCCAGCACGCCCCCCTGTCTCAACTGGCGCCGCGTTGGACTGTACAGAGTCATATTATGCGACAGCAGCCTGCCGAACATGTCACTGCGGAAATGAACTTCGGTCGCAATGGAGAACCATTCGGCCCAAGTCCTGCGCCACCGGTTAACATCGCGATGCGCCTTTTCGTTTCCAGACGTGCTCGACCACATGAACGACGGCTTTGAAGAAGGGCACCTTTGATTGTTGAGATAGAATGCCATTTGGGCTGAGACGTGGCATGAGACAGAAGTCTGCGAAAAGTACAACAGTCGGCAGATGCTCGCCTCATTCCCACGCTGTAGATGTTGCTGAGCGCGGCATGGGACTTCATAAAATCCCAGACTGTAGCCCAAGGAGCATTGCCGCCCAAATTACCCAACACGTTCCGAGCATGCGCCTCACCCATGGACGAGTGCAATATCTGCGACCTCGCGTCATTCTCTGAAGAGCTGAAGACGACGGTCTCCTTGCCTGTATGAGGCGGGCCCCAGCGGTTGCTCGGCAGCTCGCTGCCCACCCTCGTCAGCTTTGCCATGATCAGCCGAAGAACCCTGGATCCTGGCGAGCGCATGTTTCCGAGTGCGTAATCATAGGGAATTGGCAACTGAACGGGGTCCAAGGACAAGTATTTCATGTTTGGAAGCACTTCCATGCGGTGGTCGAACAAAGCCCCGCTACGCTGGTCGGACGCAACCGATGTCACCTGATCGCAGGAGCACTGAGGTCACATGCTCTGCAATGTGTCTCGGATAACAAGTCCAGCCTCGCTGCGGGCCAGATGCGTGCCCACTGATGCACCCGCGCGACCAAGAACTGCCAGGGCGCGGCGAGCTGCCCCCGCGTCAGGCACAGGGGCCGCGCCTCGCACTGCCGCGGAAAATCGAAAATCAGCTCACCCCCGTACGCGCGCCATCACCTGCCAAGAAATCAATGCGGGATGCATTCCCTCACTCCCCACCCAAGTCGCACCGCCGCCCCCTCTTCCGTCCTTGCAAGAGAAATTCAAACCACCACCCCACTGCTCTCGCGACGCCGCCCCCCCCCCCCCCCCCGCCATCTCTGCTGGGAGCCCACGCTTGTGAGAATGAAAAAAAAAACGGGGGGGTGCTAATTGAGCCCCGCTCCATTTTCTCAGGCGGGCCCCTGACAGGGAAACCCATGCAAATCAAACGCGGGTGCCGAAGTAAGCCTCGCCCCTTTTTCCAGCGAGCCCCTGGCCCGAAACGCGGCGCTCATCGAGGCGTGCTCGAACTCCTCGCTGTCGGCGCACCCCCGAATCATAAGCTGCCCGCGCCCAGCGATGAATGGGCAAGCACATGCATCTTCCAACAACTTCAACCAATGGGCCGCGCTGGAGGGGAGCAGGCCCACCAGCCCCGAACCCTGGCGCCGCAACATCTGCGAAACATTAGGCACCATCGACCTAACCCGGGCGTGATGCAACAGGGAAGCCCGCGCCAACAGTTGGGCACAACCACGGGCATAATACGCGTGTCCCCCATCCACGGCAGATGCAAGCCTGAAGAACTGACGATTTGTTTTCGTGGCGGGCCCCTCCTCCGATATCGCCAAAACGACCCCCCGGTCAATGCGCGCGCGGTCGCAGCGGAGGCGCGGCATGATCGAAGACCGCATGAGGGCAGCAGGTCTGGCTAAATATGAACATCCGTCTCCTCGACGCAGCTTATCCGAATCGAACAGCGCAGCAACCGCATTGGATTGCGTCTTGCTGCTCGCGACATAGCTATCACTCTCGAAACGGCGATTCTTCGCGCGGGCGACCAACATCCGAGACGCAGTGAACTTCCTGCGGGGACACAGCGCGCGCGCACAAGCCAGAGATACGCACGCCTCTCGTCGCGCAGTATTCGTGAGAGAACGGAAGATACGCCCACTGCGGCCTCGTCGATGAAATCCCCAGGTGGCTGCTCTGCCGGTTTCAACTCAGCGCTACCAGAGCCTGCTTGCCAGTCCAGGAGCCCGCCAAGGTCTCCGACGCAGTCTCGGGCCTGGTATACTGATGGGGGGGCGAACAGCCCTCTCGGCCAACGTGGAAAGCAAAGATGGAAGCCTCATCAGGAGCGCCTGCGCTCGCGCATGCCACAGCGGAGAGAAGCAACTGCACCTGTTGGCCGTAAAACAAGAAACACGACGCATTCTTGGCTCTCCGCATCGCACTTGCATGCTACCCCGCGAGGGCGCCCTCGAGGTTCCAAGTGAATGATGTAGGAGCCCGATGCCATTGGACTGTGTCCGAAATGGTGTGCCACTGGAACTTTGCACTCGTTTCCACGTTCGCAGTAAGACCTGATCTCACTTGCTCGGGCGGTGTAGTTCCGAGAAGACGGGGCAGCCAAGGCATTCGGGATGTTCACTGGAGAGGCACTCAGGTAATGGATTCCTGCGGGGATGCACTTGCCTTCGGCATCAAGCAGAGCACCAGAGTCGTCGCCATGAGCAATGAATGCCCTCTCGGCCTGTCGCGGTGCGAACTAAGGAGTTCCAGAACATATAAGTGCTTCTTCTTAACGGTGTCCACTGCAAAACCGGTCTGCTCAGCAGCGCGCGCGGCCGCGGCGTCGCAGAATGCTTGGACGGCGTCGCGCGCGGCTGCTGCGCGAGATCGATCTACCCTGACGCCGTCGTAGTGGAGCGACAGATGTTGCACAGGAGATTGGAGAATCCAAGTCGTCCGAACACCCAGGATATGATCCTCGCAACGGCTTGGAACATACGCCAGAAACCGCCCTCCACCAATCGCCCGGGCATCGTTAACCCGTTTCGCCCCGCCGACGTTTGTCACTTCGCTTCCTTAACCCATTGCGCTGCATGATAAAATGGGATGGGGGGCGGTCTCCAGCGTTGGTTTCTTGCCGATCGCCTCCGCCCACTGCCACCAAACTGCAAATGCCGACGCCTGCGGGAAGTTCTTCTGGGGCCCGCGCCCACGAGCTATGCTCCTCATAATTGCACGAGCAGGCAACCCAACACAATCGCAGGCTCAGCGATTGCACATGGACAAGAAACGAACTGTCTGCGACCGAGATAGGCAGCGCTCTCTGACAGCCAATAAGAGACAACAGCAATTCCTTCGCTCCACCATAGTGCCCAGGTAGGTTCTCAGACAGGATGCGGTCTCTGTTTTCTGCGGCATTTTCCTGGGCGCCCCGATCGCGGATCGCGCGCGTGGCTGTGAGATCCGATGCGCGGCCGATCACGTGCGCGATCTGAAGAGAGATCTCGCCTGCCAATCCATCGGCCGATCAGGTAGCGAGCCAGCGAGTCGGCCAATCAAACCGATGCCGTCGACTGTTCGGCCTGCCGATAGATCAATCAATCAACAGCCTGCCATGGAACGCGTCAGCCAGAAAAATTACGAAGAATTCTGCCACTGCCGGGGCGACTCTAAGACGAAATCCTTCAGCATAACAACCGCGGTCTACTGTTCATATCGCCAAGAAAAGACAAGATCGAACTAAGAGCAAGACAACAGCGCCAGCTCCTTTTGCGAACGTCGCCGAGTAAGCCAATTGTAAGCGAAATACCAGCTGGTGGCACAGACGAAGAACGCAATTCTCTATGTCTAAGTCAAATGTATGATGGGCTGCTTCACGCAAAGCGCGGCGAGGCACGCGCTAACACCCAGGGGCCCGTGCAAAGGGCCTGGCTTCATACCGCTCAGAATGTGAACCCCCTGCCGCGCCGATACGGCAGTGGCGAATCAGCGAGACAAGACATCCCCCCTGGCAGCGAAAACGCACGGCCCCTCTCCAGCAACGAACTGGCGGGAGAAGGCGCCTTTTCAGGGCCCTTCTCCCGCCAGCGGGACAGGGAGCCATTTCAGGGTCCCTCTCCCGCCGCCGGACAGGGAGCCTTGTCAGGGCCCCTCTCCGACAACGCACGAGCGGGAGAGGGAGCCTTTTTGAGATTCCGTCTCCCGCGCCAGACAAGGAGCATTTCCACGGCCCCTCTCCAGCAACGCACGACGGGACAAGGAGCCTTCTCGGGATCCTTCTCCCGCCAGCCGGACAGGGAACCTTTTCAGGGTCCCTTTCCCGCCGCCGGACAAGGATCCTTTTCAGGGTCCTTCCCCGGCAAAGAACGAACGGGGCAGGGGGCCTTTGCAGGTTCCATATCCCGCCACCAAGAGAGAGGAGAAACATCACGTTCCCCTTGCCAGCACAGAAGCGCCCTACGTGGAACAGCTGTCCGCCAAGGAAGCGCGTGCAAGGAAAGATTTGCGCAAGACCTTGCAGCAGCATCGCGACCACATGTAATATAGGCGCGCTCCCCGGGCGCTCACAGGGTACACGTATGGGCGCGCGCGCCCCGAAAGTTCGCAAGCGTATTCCTGGTGTTCCCCCCGCACTGCCCCCCACACGAATAAAATGACGACCGACGGAGACTACGACTGAGGGTAGAGGAGAAGAGGGAGGAGGAGGAGGAGGAGGAGGAGAAAGAGGAAGAGGGGAAAGAGGAGGAGGAACAGGAGGAGGTGAGGATGACGAGGAGGAGGAGGGGGAGGAGGAGGTTGAACAGCAGGAGGAAGACGAAAGCGAACAGGAGGAGGATGACGAGAAAACAAAGATGTGGAGGAGAAGGAAGAGGAGGAGAAGAGGGAAGAAGAGAAGAGAAGAGGAAAACGAGGAGGAACAGGAGGAGGAGGAAAAGCAATATGATGGTATCGAGGGCCCGTACGAAAGCAACGTCGAAATAATATCTGAAACGAAACGCTTACGTTTTGGAAAAAAAGCTGTTGAACACAATCATGTTTCACTCCTTTCAACAACCTTGGAGGTCATCCGAATTCGCTCCGAAAAGATATCGGACGGCCTGTGCCAATTTGATTTTTAAATGAAGCAATCGATGCGTTTCCTCTTATAAACAAAATAAGCCTGGAACCCAGAGGCTCGCCACGGACCGTTCCCTGAGGTCCAGGATACGTTGTATGTTGTTGTTTCTTGTTTCATAATGTTTGCATTTTTCTAATTTTCCAAATTGGCCCAAGAAGCAATACGCATGTCCTTTTGTGGCGGATTACCAGAAGGCGTCCTTTTGCACCAATTCGAAAAAATAAAACACTAAAGCGACACGTGGGCCAGGAACCCAGAGGCTCGCCACGGACCGCCCCCTGAGGTCCAGTTTATGTATATATACATATATATCACTCGTAATTCATGAAGGCCTGTGAAGGCAGCGTGCCTAGACAGGCACTGTATATGTATGAAGTAGCATTGCGCGCCCAGCCTTCGCACTTGCGATGGCAGCGCTCGGAGAGGCCCACTCCTCTGGGGTGAGGCGGGCCTGTATATTGTACGTGTGGAACGCTATGATCACGCGTTCAAAAGCCAAACGATGAGATCCACTTGACACGCCAGTCCGCAGCCCTAGGCGTTCGGACAGGCACTCAGGGGCGAGGGTGCGAATGTGCCAGGCCATGCAGACAGCGTGCCACATGTGCGAGCAAACAACATAGCGCGGCATGGCGTCGGACGCCGATGGGTCATCTACTCTCGAGCAGCCGAAGACGCACCCCTGTACTCCAGCAGCTCGGCGGAGCCTGCGAGAAGTGGTCCAGCCACCGGCCCAAGTTTTTACAAGGGCCGATTGGCCCGAAGGCGGAAACGATTTCAAAAGCTCCAGGACGGGTTCCCATTCGATCGTGTCCGCGGGAGGCTCCGATCCCTGGGGCCACCAAGACTTCAGACGGGAGAGGAAGGTGGGGACAAGGGAGGACACATCAAGGAGCGAGGAGAGGAGGTGGGAGTGGATGAAGCGCTGCAGGTGGATGGGCGCCGCAGGCGATCGATCAGCAGCAGCGCGCTTGGCAGCGCGCCACTCAGCGAGGGCAGAGCGGCAGGCCTTCATCAGCAGGTCAGGGCGAGGCTTGTCCTTGTGCCCCGTGGCCGCCTCCCTCAGGTACAGTGCGAGGGGCGGCTCCTTCCAGTGCTTGGGGGCCATGTTGGGAAGGTTCCCGAAGTGCTGGAACTCGAGATCATTCTGAATCGCCAAGTGCAGCCTGCGCATCCAGAGGTCCCAGTTCGTGATCGTCTCTTTGGCACTGCGAATGAGCGTTGCGGCAGCCGAGAGCTCCATCGATGTGATCTTGAGCGCCTTCGACCACTGCCCTATGCTCAGAATGTCCACCAGGCGCATGGACTGGGGCGGAATGTGCCAGATGCGGCGCAGCAGCCAGGCTTCCTGGCGTCTGAGATGCGAGGGCCATGGGGCCAGTTGGGCCATGTAGGAGGCCTTCGAGGCAGCCCTCTGGTTGTACAACACGATGCTCGTGTTGGTTGGGGCACACGAGTCCGCTATCGCATGCGCTACTACCTTCCAGCCCTCGACCACCTTCTGCCATCGCACGTCGTTGGAAACCGCAGGTCCCAGAAGCACCCCGAGGTATTATGCCATCGGTACGATCTGCATCTTCTCCCACCGCGGCACCAATTCCAGCAGCTTGGCGTCTACACGGGACTGCAACTCTGTGCTGAACTCCGCCGCCAACGGGACGATCTTGCACTTCATCGTCTTGAGGGTGAGCCTCGCCAGCTTCTCCGCCGCAGCAAAGACCTGGCTGAGTGGCTTCAGCATCTGCATCGAGGGGAGGACTGATCCAATGTCATCCGCGCACACACCGATCACTGCCTGCTTATGATGACGGGTGCGATGGAACGTATCCCTGATCAGCGGGTCCATGCCGACTGCCCAGAGCGTGCCCGACCATGGACAGCCCTGGAGGATGCCCGAGCCCAGCCAGCAGAATATGCGCAGCTGGCCGCTCAGGTTGGCCCATGCCAGTGGGAAGAGGTAGATGGCGTCCACCATGTTGAGGATCGCGGAGGGGAATCCGCCCAGCTGTAAGACAGCGCGGAGGAAGAAGCGGCACATCGAGGGGAACGCGTCGCCGAAGTCGAACATCATCATCAATGGGTCCCTCTCGTGGATACGCGGGGCCATGGCTACGATCCTCGACTGCGCATCCATCATGACCACATGTTCAATGAAGCGGCGACGAGGGAGAAACCCCTTCTGCGCATGGTGAGCGGTCTTCGCGACAATCGGCTTCATCAGGAAGTTGCCCATGGCCGCAACAATCTTGCAGTCAGTGTTCTTGAGCGAGAGGGGTCGCGTAGCCTTCGCCAACCTTGTCGCGGTCTGGCGGTCTTCAGGCTCCGAGCCCTTAGGAGTGAATATCAGCAGCGACTCGTTGAAGTCCAGTGGGGCGGGGAGACCTCTCATGATCTCGTGCGTGACATTGAGAAGGACTTGCGCTGCCATGGGGGTCTCCTTCCAGGCCATGTACGGAAGACCGTCAGGACCAGGAGCTGAGTTGTTCATATGTCCGGTGAGGTGCTTCATCTTGCCAATCGTGGGGATGTCCATGTCAGAGCAGTCGAACTTCTGGGCGTGCTTCTTCAGGTAGCGGACGACGGGCTGGGTGTGGCTCGGCTTCGGCTGAAATACTAGCGCCCACTGTTTCTGCAGCTCCGCAATCATCTCATCAGGGTTGGACGTCTTGGAGTTGTCGCGCAGCACTTCAATGGCTTTGAGCTTCAGAACCTTGCCAGAAGGGGCCCACAGCTTGCCACTCCGTGTGATCGCCCTCTGCATCTTACGTAGTCGCTGACGTTCCCGAGCGGGGGTGTCAGATGCTTTCTCCTGCGAGTGAATAGCCTCCAGTCGTTCATCTCGGTATTGTTGCTGGAGTTCATCAAACTTCCTGCTAAACTCCAGTGGGTTCTTCAGGGTGACATTGGGCGCATCCGAGAGGTCCAAGAATGTGGCGCCCAGCTCCGTGCGCTCTATGAGGGCGCGCGCGGCCTTCACGTCGCCCCTCCAAACTGCTCGTGGTATCGATATGCAAGTCGTAAGAGCCGCCGCCGTGCACGGAGCGCGGGAATTGGCGAGGTCACTGCGAGTGAGACGGGCCGCTTCGCGCTGGAGACGTTTGAGCTCTCGAAGTTGCGCGAAGGGGACGTAGGGCTGCCAGGGCGAGGATTCCATCAGGATGCCCAGGTAGTGCTCGAAGAGAGGGTGCTCGAAGATGCACTTTGGGATGGGCTGGAGCTGTCCGTTCTCCTCCTGCTGCCGGTGGGCGAAGCGGAGGTGGACAGGGGCGTGGTCAGAAATGCCTCGGTCATATAGTACTTCGGGGGCCAGCGGGACATCTGCTCGCGCGCACCACTGCAATAGCATCCATGGTGGGGTGCTGACATAAATCTTGTCAATCCGCGTGCACTGCTGTGATTGCTCCGTGTAGTGTGTAGGAATCTCAGGGTCCACCTCCGTCATGTTCGTCAGCACCGGCTCCCAAGCCAGCTGGTGTTCAGGGTTGTGTCGGCGTAGACGAGGTAGGCCTTCGTTGACCAGTGGCGCCTTCATCTCCAGGGGGGGGCCTCACCCATGAAGTTGAAGTCACCCATGACGATGATCGTGATGCGCTCGGGCTGCTGCGAGGCGGTGATCACCTCGGCGCGGATGGAGCGCGTGACCTTGTCGACCTCCTGCGCTGTCAGCCTGAAGTTGTGAACGTTGTAGTTGACCACCATGATCGGAAGAGCGCCTTGAGCCGCCTCGGACTCTGTCAGCGTCCTGATGAGGAGGCGCTGCACTCGGCCAGGGACCAGCTCCGTGCGTGTGAAGCGTGACTCGTCATCAGCAATGGATTGTGGGAGGCCAGGGACAATGGTGGCCACACCGCCCGAGCCCCGCTCGGGGATGGAAGAGAAGATCGACGCCTCAATGTGCGCGAGGTGGACTGCATGCTGAAATTCATGATGTGACCCGTGTACTTCCTGCAGAGCCAGCAGGGAGGTGGAGCGCAGCGCTTCAGACATGCACTGAAGCTTGCGACGTCGTTGCATGATATTGTTACACAGCAGAGCACGTGCATTCCACGTGGTGAACGAGATGCTCTGGTGCGAGTGAGAGGCTCTCCATGGAGCCAGAGTACGGCTAAATCCTCCACTGGACCTCCCTCTCCTCCAAGGTGGTCCTGAAGAACTCTTCGAAGCTCTGCTTGATGGCGTCCCTGTTGATGGAGTGCGTGGAGCACCCGTCGTAGTTGAAGAGCAGGCGGGAGGGAGTCTCTCGCGTGGCACCGACCACCACCGGGACCACGGGCATGTTGTTACAATAGATGACACCTTGCTGGCGATCTGCCCTCCAACGTTTGTCGGGGGCAAGCTCACGACCAAACTGCGCGAGCTTCTTGGACTGGAACTCACATCTTGCCGACTTCGCTGATCTGTCCAGGCCGAGGTAGAGCCGCGAGTTCTGCCCGTGTGCGTTGGCCACCTCCGTCTGGAGCCAGGAGCCGTCCACTTGCTTGAGTTTGGCATAGAAGGCGCGAACTTTGCGCGCGGCCGCACTGGCCTGACCCGAGAACTGAACCACGAATCGGCGTGCAGGACTTTTCCCTTGGACAGACCATTGACCAGGCTCCATCTCGCAACTGTCCATGATGGGCTGGATGCTCTCCTTGAGCTTCTCAGCAGTGAAATTCTCGGCAGCGGTGCCCACAATGATGCTGGTGTCGGCGTCTCGGTCCCACTCCAGCAGTCCCTCGTAGTCTTTGATGGGGACCTGGGCCTCCTGCATATGGAGCTGCTTGCGCATGTCAGCGAGCTGCTCTCGGATCTGCTTGTTGGCCTCCTCGAGGCGCTGCGCCGAGGTCTGGAGCTCGCTGATGTCGCCTCTGAACTGTGCGATCTGGGTGGCTTGTTGGGCCACGACCGCCGCCAGCGGGCCCTTGAGCTGCTCTCCGAAGTTCGCGATGACCTCTGCCTTAACCGTGGCCAGCTTGGCGTCCAGCTGCTTCGTGAGGAAGTCCTGGGAGGCTGTGATGGCCGCCTGCACCGCGCCCATGGGGTCCACGACGGGGGTCCCGCGCTCGCCACCAGCGTCCGTTGTCCGTGGCCTCTTGGCCCACGGGTCAGCTCCAAGGAGTTGCAGTGGGTCGCCACCACCGTCAACTGGCGAGGGGCCACCAGCAGCCCGAGGCGCAGGAGAGCCAGGAGCAGCGCGAGGAGTGCCAGGGGCGGAGGCCGCCGCACCAAGGAGCATCTCAGAGTTAGCTTTGCCGCTTGCTCCCACGGGGCTGAATGGGTGGAGCAAGGGCGTGTACGAGAAAAGGCACTGGGCGCCAGTGGCGCACGAGAGAAGACTTCTTGTCCTGTGACGGGAGAGACGGCGAACAGAAGCCCCGAGGACTCGAGGTGTTGCCCACCCCCCGCCATCTTGAGCCAAAATGGCTTGAGCCAAAATGGCTACGGATATGTGTATATATATATATATATATATATATATATATCAAAACAGAAACATACATACATACATATATATAGATATATATATACATTGATTATACATATATGTGTTGGCGCAGTGTTTGCAATTCTTCATTTTTACAAATGGGCGGCACAATACTCATTGTGTGGCTGATTACAAGAAGGTTTCCTTACGTGGCAATGTCTCTTTTAGTTCTCAAACCATGCATGTTCATATAAAAGATATGGGAACCCAGGCGGTCGCCACGGACCGTCACCTGAGGTCCAGGATATGTTGTGGTTTCTATGTTTGTTTATGTGTTTGCTATGTTTGCAATCTTTACATTCTTTCAAATTGGCAGAACACGAATTCCTGTTGTGGCTGATTATACACAAGATTTCCTTATGTGGCAATTTGTAGATATATGTATATATGTATACGTATAAAAAAACGAAAAACGACACACACACACACACAACTATATATATATATATATATATATATATATATATATATATATGATCTGGGAACCCAGAGGCTCGCCACGGACCGCCCCCTGAGGTCCAGGATACGTTGTTTCTTTTAATGTTTGGAGTTTTTGCTATTTCTTAAATTTTCCAAGCTGGCACAAAAGGGATCTCTCTTGTGCTTTATAACAAGACGAATCTCTGTTGTGCCCATTTGAAAAGATTCTGTTATCTGGCACAATCATCTCCATTCCCCCCCGCCTTCGAGGCCCCAAAACCCGAAAACCTCCCAAGACGAACCAAGATTGCAACAAGAGGCCTCCAAGACGGCCCAAGAGGGCCCCGAATCGCCGCACTGTCGGTCCAGGACGCCACAGCAGCCTCCACATGGCGCATAAGGTTTCCAAAACGCCCCCAAAGGCGTTCAAGAGCAATCCCAAGAGGGCCCAAGAGGCACAATTCATTGTTTTGCGTGAGATGTTTGATAGATTTGTTGCAGGTTCTTGCTTTCTCGGCCTCTCGACAATCCAAAACGGCCCAAAAGGCACCAAAGATCACCCAAAGATAACCCCAAAGGCCTCCAAGAGGGCCCAAAAACTACCCAAGAGGGCCCCAAGACGGCCCAAGAAGCCTCGAAGACGGCCCAAGAGGCCCCGAAGACGGCTCCAAGAGGGTGCCTGGACGGGGTGGCCGAACGGACATTTCGAGCCCTCGGCCTGAGAGGCTCCCTGGAAGCGCCCACAAGCCCCGCCAAAAACCCCAAGAGACCCCCAAGAGGCTTCCGGGGAACCCCGAGAGGCCCCCAACAGCCTCTCGACAGGCCCCATGAAGCCCCCAAGATGCCCCCAAACTGCCTACCCAAGGGGTCTCCGAAAGCGCCCCGAAGAGACCTCAAGAAGCATGGAGGACTCTGGCCCACGTCAGCATCGCCGTCGTCGTCGTTCATGGTCGGCGGCGCAGGCCGTACGGCTTCTCCAATACGTAGCACCCCGCAGATGCGGATAAGAGTGAGGGGCGGTGGGGACGTCGGCAGTCTGCGAGACTCTGGAGACGCCCGCCGCAAGCGCCAAAGTTTCACAAATTATATAACGAGCCGGCCGCAAACGCCGATTTTTTTTCAAACCGATGTGGGTCGGTCGCGGGTGGGTCGTATGTGGGTCGCGGGTGGGTCGCGGGGTGGGTCGCGGATGGGTCGATACCGAGTCGCGGGTGGGTCGCGGGTGGGTCGCGGATTGGTCGCGGGGTGGGTTGCAAGTGGTTCGCGGGGTGGGTCGCGGGTGGGTTGCGGGTGGGTCGCGGGTCGGTCTCGGGGTGGGTCGCGGGTGGATCGCGGATTGGGTCATGGGTGGGTCGCGGGGTAGGTCGCGGGGGTGGTCGCGGGGTGGGTCGCGGGGTGGGTCGCGGGGTGGGTCGCGGGTGGGTCGCGGGGTAGGTCGCGGGGGTGGTCCCGGGGTGGGTCGCGGGGTGGGTCGCGGGGTGGGTCGCGGGTGGGTCGCGAGGGGGACGACGACAACCAACAACAACAACAACAATAAGAACAACGGCAATCATTTTAAGACTGTTCGCTCTCATCTGTTCGAATGCCCGTTAACGCGTATTTCTCAAACCCTCGTTACCCGCCCTCTTCGTCTTCGATCGTACCCCTTTTGGGGGGTATACCCTTCTTCCCTGCAGACCGGGCCCCGGCAAGCGGCGGGGCGGCCGCGGCCCGTCGGCCTGGCCAGCGGCAGCGCTGATCGGCGGCAACCCGACCCCAAGAGGGACGGACAAGGGACCGACCACGACGACGACGACGTCGACGACGACGACGGTGACGACGACGACGACGACGACGACGAGCGAAAGCCAGAGCGAGAGAGAGAACGACAGCAGGGCCACGAATGGCACGAAGTAGGCCACGAAGGGCAGATAATGCGGGGCCACGACGGGAATGCGTATGGGGCCACGAAGAGCGCGAACGAACGGGGGCCACGAAGTGCAGATAATGCGGGGCCACAGAAGGCAACGACGGGGCCACTGAGGGTAGCAACTGGGACACGTAGGACAGCGAGGGGGCCACAAAGGGCGACAGCGGGGCCACGAAGGACATGCACATGGGGCCATGACGGGTGCGAACGAGCGGGGGCCACGAATGGCATACGTATATTGGGCCGCGGAGGGCAAGGACGGGGCCACGAAGGGGGCCACGAAGGGCAGCGAGGGGGCCACGAAGGGCTGCAACGGGGCCCCGAAACAAAGCGAGGGGGCCACGAAGGGCTGCAACGGGGCCACGAAACAAAGCGAGGGGGCCACGAAGGGTTTCAACGGGGCCGCGCCACGAAGGGCAGCGAGGGGGCAACGAAGAGCTGCAACGGGGCCACGAAGGGAGGCGAGGGGGCCACGAGGGGCTGCAACGAGGCCAAGAAGGGCAGCGAGGGGGCCACGAAGGGCTGCAACGGGGCCACGACGAAGGGCACCGAGGCGGCCACGAAGGGCTGCACCGGGGCCACGACGAAGGGCAGCGAGGGGGCAACGAAGAGCTGCAACGGGTCCACGAAGGGCAGCGAGGGGGCCACGAAGGGCTTCAACGGGGCCACGAAACAAAGCGAGGGGGCCACGAAGGGCTGCAACGGGTCCACGAAGGGCAGCGAGGGGGCCACGAAGGGCTTCAACGGGGCCACGAAGGGCAGCGAGATCCGGATTCCTAAAGAATCTGTGAAGGAGTCCTAAGCGTGAGCGCGACTCATGGGTGCTTGATTGTCGGGAGCGCGGCGCTTGAGTGAATTGCGGGACATTCCCATGCAAGGGCGCTATTCTTGAGTAAGTGGCAAGCGAGTCTCCAGCGAGAGCGTGACTCCAGAGCGCCGAAAGCGATTCCTGAAAAATTGTAGGGGCGTCCCAAGCAAGAGCGCGAATCCTGAATATAAATGCGAGGAGGTCTCAGGCGTGAACGGGCGCGGGCGGCCTGGCTAAATTGTAAGGAAGTATCAGGCGGGAGCCGTTGAATGTTCATTTCTGAAGAAAAATCATTCCTGATCCCCCCCCCCACTGGTGCATATTTTTTTTTCTCTATCAAAATGTGCCCCTCGACGCTCGCACCTTGTTTTTTGACAGGGAGAATCTTCCTGCTCAAACTGGCCCCCTGGCCCCCGGGTTACAACAACAACGGTTCCCGCCTGACTTCTTTGCAATTTAGCCCGGACCCGCGCTCCCGCACGAGACTTCCTCGCATTTTATTCAGGAATCGCGCTCTCGCTTGGGACTTCCTTGCCATTTATCAAGGAATCGCTCCCCCGGCGCTCTGGAGTCGCGCTCTCGCTGGAGGCTTGCTTGCAACCTACTGAAGAATGGCCTTGCGTTGGAATTTCCTGCAATTTGCCCAAGCGCCGCGCTCCCGACACCCAGGCACCCAGGAGTCGCGCCCGCTGTGGCCTCATGTGCATGCCCTTCGCGGCCCCGCTGTCGCCATTCGTGTCCCCCTCACTGTCCTACGTGGCCCAGTTGCTACCCTCAGTGGCCCCATAGTTGCCTTCTGTGGCCCCGCATTATCTGCACTTCGTGGCCCCCGCTCGTTCGCGCTCTTCGTGGCCCCATACGCATTCCCTTCGTGTCCCCGCTGTCGCCCTTCGTGGCCTACTTCGTGCCCTTCGTGGCCCTGCTGTCGTTCTCTCTCGCTCTCGCTTTCGCTCGTCGTCGCCGTCGTCGTCGTCGTCGTCGTCGCCGTCGTCTTCGACGTCGTCGTCGTCGTCGTCGTCGTCGTCGTCGTGGTCGGTCCCCTGTCCGTCCCTCTTGGGGTCGTGTCGACGGTCCGCGGCCGCCCCGCCGATCAGCGCTGCCGCTGGCCAGGCCGACGGTCCGCGGCCGCCCCGCCGCTTGCCGGGGCCCGGCAAGCAGGGAAGAAGGGTATACCCCCCAAAAGGGGTTCGATCGAAGACGAAGAGGGCGGGTATCGAGGGTTTGGGAAATACGCGTAATTGGACACTCGAGAATGTAAGGGCGAACGGTTTTTAAATTATTGTTGTTGTTGTAATCCGGGGACCAAGGGCCCAGTTTGAGGAAGAAGACTTTCTTTGATCAAAAACCGAGTGCGAGCGCCGGGAGGGGCACTTCAATTGAAAAACAATGTTCACCGGAGGGAAGGGATCAACAAAACTTGTCCAGTGGTGAGAATTCAACAACAACGCAACAAGCAGAATCGGCACCACGGATTCTCGCTTCAGAACGCTCCCAGGGACAATGAATGACCGTTCGGCCCCCTCACTCTGATGCGTAATAAATTAAACGCAGGACGTGGTCTCTCACCCACAAGCGTGGTGCTAGTAAAAAGATATGGGGGGACCTGGCGACCAGGAACTCGCATACGCAATGCAATCGCGCAGTAATATAAGGACTGTATGGCATCGGGACGCAGGAACGCCTGGCCAAAAACACTGTTACTCAACACGGAGAACTACAGACTCCTGGTGTCAATTTCTGCGGCTGGCCCCACCAGCCCAAAGAACCAACATAAACTCGCGCGGGGCGCTGGCTTGCAACGGAAACAAAAGCTGGCACAGAAGCTGGCAAAGCAACCAACAATGTGCACACAACCGGTGGCATCGCAATTCCGTGGCCTCGTAAAGGATCCGAGATTGACACAAGCCAGCGCCCTGTGCTGCGCACCATGAAACACGAACAGCCCATCATATACCTAAACTCACCCGGCGCGGTTGTGACCCTCCGACAGCCGGGGACGATGGGGCCGCGCGTGTGCAAATATAAACAAATCGAACGATACCGTGTAACATTTCCAACACACATGACAATAACAGAAACGCTCGCACAATCAGCCGAACAATCAACGAACAATCGTAGCGGAGTAACCTCGGGCCTCCAACTCAAAAACACCAGGACAAGGCAGCCAAATCACCATCACACGCCCGATTCACCATGCATCCCAGGCGTGCGTGCGTGTGCGCATCATACGTGCGGCCTACTAGTAGCCTACATGTTCCTGCGCCTGCACAACCACCAAGGGTACTGGCGTGGCCTACTGCACACTTCGTTTGGCGGGCAACGGCCGTACCCCATTTGCTTTTCCGCGTTTGCAGAAACAAATGACGCCGAAACGCCCTCAAAGAGACGTGATAAGACAACTCTCCACTAGTTGCGTAGGATATGCGCCCACGCCACGACCGAATATGAACCGCGGGTGCGTAGATCATGTGCTCCAGGGACATGGTCACAAACCGCGTCTAGGCTCACGCAGCTGTCCAGTCGGCCTTGCCGAAGGGCGCAACCTTCTGCGCCTTCTAAACCAGCTGCTCAGACTGAGATCGCCGCCCAGCACCTCACACTCACTACGGAAGCGTATGAGGCCACACATCTGGGCTGACATAGGATGCCCCGCAGGATGAATCGTCAACGGGATGTCCACAATATAAACAGTCAACAGGGTGATGCCGATGCTTACGCGTAGCCTAGGAGCACGGTTCGCAATGCGCCATCGCGAGGACGCAATCCCCTCCATGAAGAAAACCAATCTTGCTGGACAACAATGCTGGCGACAGGAACTCTGAATCATCACGGGGGCGCATTGGCACAGACAAAAGATTGCCGCTGCATTCGGGACTGCCAATATTGTATGATTACAGGTCGCCTGGTCGAGGACGCATCGAAACACATATGAACGCGCAGCGCTTTTTCTTCCCATGTCGTGACGGCATTTCCTAAAGACCTGCGCGTGGCTGGCTTCATTTGCCCTGTCGATTAACGCCAGTCAGCGAACGCAAAACAACTCGATTAAACTCACGCTCCGGCGTGAAATGTTGGCTCTTACAGCTGCCCGGGCCTTAGCCTTGAATCGTGCTCGACGTCGCCGCGCGTACAGCAGCTCGGCCCGCGGCTGCTGGCCGCCACCGACTACTCGATTAACGCAGGGATCTTGGGAGTGTGCGGCAGGAGCAGGAGCAAGAGCAGGGGGATGAACAAGAGCGAGAGAAGATGAATGAATGAATGGCTAAGGAGAAAATCCACATGACGAAAACATGAACGAGAAAATTCGGCATGCTTGGCCTCCTCCTTGGCCCTGATCCGCTGGAACAGGGCCGCCACCCGCGCTCCGTAGGTCATGTGGGCAGATAGGCTGGGGGAGAGGAAATGGGAGCGGGGACATCAGCGGAACCGCGGAGGAAAATAGGCGGCGGAGGAGGCAGGCGCAGAGGGAAAAGGAGGAGATGCAGGAGGGGAGGAAGGCTAGGCAAACGACGGTCACGCAGACGGTAAAAAGGCGGGGCGGACGACGACGGCGACGACGGCGGCGCCGACAACGACGACCTCCCGGTCTTCCCGCCCCGCGCGCGCGGCCGCGAAGCGCCGGCGGACCCGCCCGCCGCTCCGCCCTCGCCGTACACCTTTTTGCCAGGCGCCGAGTGCGCCAGAGGTCGGGGCGCCGCTCGCGGGCCGCGGGCGAGGCGGAGCGTGCGAGGCCGCGCGCCCGCTCGCAAAACCTCCGCGGCCTCCGCCTGGGGGAGGGCGCCCCCTGGCCTCCAGAGGCTGCGCCGTGAGGGCGCGGGGCCTGAGACCCACTGGTGGAAGCTCCTCCTCCTCCTGGGGCCCGCACAGGAAGCGCAGCAAAGGAGAGGGAGAGGGAGGGGGAGGAGGAGGAGGAGGAGGAGGAGGAGGAGGAGGAGGAGGAGGGGGAGGAGGGGGAGGAGGGGGACACCTCCTCCTCCTCCTCCACCTCCTCTCCACCTCCTCCTCCTCCTCCTCCTCCTCCTCCTCCTCCTCCTCCTCCTCCTCCTCCTCCTCCTCCACCTCCTCTCCACCTCCACCTCCTCCTCCTCCTCCTCCTCCTCCTCCTCCTCCTCCGCGCATCTTGCCCATCCTCCTCCTCCCCCTTCCCCGTCTCCTCCTTCTCTCCCCCCTGCCCCCATTCTTGGCATTCCTGTTCAGCCTACGGCTCCTCCCGCCCGCCTCCCACCTCGCCAGACTCAGCGGAGCGCCTGGGCGTCCGCGAGGCGGCGAACCTTCGAGGGCTCCGGCGCGTCCACGCCTGCAGCGCCGGCGGCGGCACGCCCGCGCCGTGCGAGCGGGGCCCGAACGAGATCCTTCGACCGTGCGCGTCTGGGCGCCTGTCAGGAAGTTGCGGAAGCGGGACGAGGAGGACGAGGAGGACGAGCACGCGGTGGCAACGCATGGGAGCCTCCCGTACCATCTTGTCGGCTCTTGCGAATCGACGCTGCATCGACGCTAATCGTCGCAACATCTAGGCGAATCGACGCTAACCGACGCTAGATCGGCGCTATCTCATCGACTCCCATACGCTAATCGACGCTAGTCGACGCTACAAACAAAATTACGAGGGTACACAAGGCTCCCATGATTTGCGAACGAACGAGCAGGGTGAGGGATGCGCTCTCAGAGTCTCGGATCCCTCCCGGGGCTCAAACGCACAATTTAGCCGAGCTGCGTCCAGCCGGTGGCGACGAGGGGGCGCGCCGAAGGCCAACGGCCGTGGTTTCGCTTCGTCCTCCTCTGATATCTGGAGCGCGGCCACGTTCGAGCGGAGCACCCATCTCATGGGGGGCAACAGCACGGTCACGTCCACGACCAAGAGAGCGGTAATCCTTTGAAGCATGGGCCAATGTTCGGACGAAAGGTGTCAACATCACATGCTGCTTCAAGACGCCGCCCCCCCCCCAGACGACCCAAAGTGGCCCCAAGGTGGCCACCAAATTCTCCCACACTCCGCCAAAATCGCTCAGTCTGGCCCGAGAAGGCTCCAAGGCATCCAAAGGAAGCCCCAAGAGACCCCTAGCTGGCTCTCAGAGGCCCCAATTGTGCCCAAATGAAGCACGAATTGAACCAAGATGCGTCGTAGAAATAAAGAAGGAGATCCTTAACGCATGATCAATCTCGCGTGGTTGAATGCGCTTGTGGACTCCTGTCGGTGGTCAGCCAACGTGTCATCTCTTCCGAGGAATGACTAGTGGCGACGCGGCTGCCGAAGAGGACACACACCTCAATCACCTGCTGGAAAACGGTCTCGTAACCGGACAGAGGGATTCACGTATACGCTTTCGTTCCACAACCCAGGTAGTGCCTCGGAGTCTCTAACTCCTTGTTGTTCTGCAGAGTGGCAAATGGCGATCATGGGCGACCGCCCCCACGCCCTGGTGGGGGTTCCTCCGGGATTCCCCAGGGCTCCTCGGGGTTCCGTTGCTTTGTGATGCTTTGCTATCTACTGACATGCATCGCTTCGTTTGGCAATGCATTGCCTTTGCTTAGGCAGTGCCATGCTACGCAATGTCATTGCCTCTGATTCCCGAAGCAGCTTGTCTGCAAGGCTTCCTGTCTAATTTGGCACTGAGCACATTGTCTGGCAAAGCTCCACCCCATCGCTCCAAGAAGCAAGTCGGTGGATCGCTGGATCTGGATTTCCGTTCCCTCCAGTAACCGGCCCTCCACCTGTGAAGCCCTGGCCAAGCTGCAAAACACACAGCGGATTGGCGCTGCTGCGAAAATCGCACTTTGAAAAGGGTCCGCCTTCCGTCCGCGAAGCGCCCTCGCAAATTCTGCAAACGAGCGCGCGCGGCGCCAGGGCGCAGACCACGCTCTGAAAATGACCCACCCTCCGCTCGTGAAGCTCAAACTCAAGCGAACTTTGAAAACGAGTGCGCGCGGCGCTACAGCGAGATCAGTAGTTTGGCAAGGACACGCCCCCCCACGCGCGAAACTCTTTCCGGCTATGAATCACGAGTGCGCGCGGCGCTGAGGCGACAGCCACATTTCCAAAAACGACCCGCCCTCCATCCGCGAAGCTCTAGCAAACGTTTGAAACGAATGTGCGCGGCGCTACGGCGAGAGCCACTTTCGGAAAAGAACCCGCCCTCAATCCGTGAAGCTTATGTCTTTAATTACGAATGCGCGCGGCGCTACGACGAGAATATATATATATATATATATATATGTTGAACAAGGCCCGCCCTTCATCCACGAAGCCTTTGCAAACTTTTAGTCACGAGTGTGTGCGGCGCTGACGGGGAAAACGCATTTTGAACAGGACTCGCCCTCTATCCTGGAAGCCCTAGCAATCATTGAGAATGAATGAGCGCGACGCTTAGACGATAGGCACATTCAGAAAACAAATACCACCATCCATCCGTAAAGCTCAGGCCAACATTTGAAACGATTGCGTTCGACGCTAAAGCGATAATTACATGTTGAAGAGTACCCGCCCTTCGTCCGTGAAGCTTCCGCCATTTGTTCAAGCGAATGTGCCGGGCGCGAAACCGAAAGCCACATCCTGAAAAGGACCCGCCCTGAATTGGTGAAGCCTTTCAAACTTTTGACACAAATGCGCGCGACGCTGAAAGCGGTAGCAATGTTTTGGAAATGGCCCACCCTCCATCCCTGAAAATCTTTCAAACCTTTGAAACGAATGTGCGCGGCGCTGAAAATAGAACCGCATTTTGCACAGGACCGGCCCTCCATCCGCGAAGGCCTATCACACTTTTGACTCCAATGTGCACGGCGCCCCGGCGAGAATCAATTTTTCATGGTTTTTACAAGCAAACCACGTCCTCCAACCTGTTGTACATTGGTAACACGAAAGCGCGCGGCGCTGAATCGTGAGGCACATTTTGAAAAAGACCCGCCCTCCATGCGTGAACTTCTCGCACATGTTTGAAACGATTGTGCGCGGCGATACGGCGACAAGAACATTCCGGTAAGGATTTGGAAAGCTTGAAACGAAAATTTGGAACGAAAGTTTGGAACGAAAATTTGAAAAGCCCGGAAGGATCCGCCCACATAAGTTTGCAACGAAAGCGCGCGGCGCTGAAGCAATAAGCACATGTGGGAACAAAAACAAACAACGACAAACGCTTTCCACCGGCGGAACTCTACCACAACGTTTGCAACGAATGCGCACGACGCGAAAATGCGAACCATTTTCTGAGCAGAACCCGCCCTCTATCCGTGAACCTGCTGCAAGTTTGTGAAACGCATGTGCGTGAGGCTAGAGCGATAACCACACCCCAAAAAAGGGCTCGCCCTCCATCCCTGAAGATTCTGCAAGCATTGGGAACGACTGTGCGCGGCGCTCCAGCGAGGACCACATCCTGAACGGGGACCCACCCTCCATCCGTGGAGCGGCTGCAGGCTTTGAAGACCGGTGTGCGCGGCGCGAAAACGATAGTCACATCTTCACCGGAAGGGGGGGGGGGGGTATCACTTCCAGGGGCGGAAGTGACATGTTTTCGCTGGAAGGGGTGCGTACTCGTCATCAAAGTAAACCTGGCACCCCCCGTGCAATGCTGGGGGCGGCGGCACGGTGCCCCATCCCATCATCGCACGGGGATGCGAAGACCCCGCAGACGGGAAGGGACGGGCATGGCTTGGCATCACGAGCCCACGAACAACCACAAGGGGCATCATAGGTAACTGTTTTTGTTATGTTTTGTTCCGCCGATCGGCGCGGGCCCCCAGCCCTCTCTCCCTCTCGCCCCCATCAACCAAATCCTGGTTGCTTTTGGCCGCTGCTTATGGCGACTGGTCAGGACCTGAGTGGGCCCTGGAAACGACAAGGCCGTTTTTTTACCGGTTCCATTTTGCCGTTTGTTTGCCGGTTCCGACGCCGTTGTTTTACCGGTTCCGTCGCCGTTTGTTGACCGGTTCCGGCTCCGGTTCCAATCCTGGAGCCGTTTTTGTTGCCGTTTCCAGTCGCCGTTTTTTTTTTTTTTTGCCGTTTCCATGTTCAAGGGGCATTTTTCTGGAAACGGTGAAAAAAGCGGCCCTGCCGTTTCCGGGGCCCACAAAGGTCAGGACCCCTCCCCCCAGTCTGCTGGCGCGACTGGTAAAAGCAGATCGACGAAGCACTGGCCCAGCCTCAGACCCCCACCGCTCCCCCACCAGTCGGCCAAATCTCGAAATTCTGAATTTACTGCGGGCAAGATTTATATCCATATCCAGTGCGCCTTCGATTTTTTTGGAAGGGGCGCCACAAGGCCGAGGTGCACTGGACATGGATAAAAATCGAGCCTCTAGGGGGCAAATTTATCCATATCCAGTGCGCCTCGGGTTTCTGGAGAAGGGAGCCCGGAACTCTATACTGCAGTGGATCTGGACAGAAGTACTGCTCGCATGTACACACGCGCGCGAGCCCCCACACCGTGGTGCAGGGCCGAGCCGATCGCGGATCCCAGCCGCACCCTTTGCTGGCAGCAGAGTCATGCGCAGCGGCACGCTCTCCTCAGCTTTGCGGTTTTTTTCGGTGCCCCCGAGACTCTCCACGTGGTTCTCCCTGAGGCCTCGGGAGCGTTCCTCCCTCCTCCTCCTCCCCCTCCTCCTCCTCCTCCTCCTCCTCCTCCTGTGGCTGGGAATCCAGACCTCCGGCATGCCCGAGTGTGGCTCCATGGAGGCCGTCCTGGAGCGAGCGCGGGGGCCTCCTCTGGCAGCCTCGGGGGCTCGCGAGGCTGCCACGGGTGCCCCAAGTCGCTCACATATGCTGCGGCTGCATCCCTGTTGACTTTTCCAAGGGCTCCCAACTTCGCGCTTCGCGCTGCGCGGAGCGCGAAGCGCAGATCACTTCGCGCTCTCGCGCCGCCTCCCAGGGGAGAAGAGCAGGATGAAGAGGAATCGGAGCCGAACCGCGAAGCGCGAAGCGCGAATAACTTGGCGCCCTCGAGGGCGCCCTTGACTTCTCGGGCTGGCAGAATCCAGTGCGGTCCAATAAGACTCCCGCAATCTCTCCAGGACTGTCCCGAGCCTCCGAGAGTGAATGGGGCCCTGAGACACACGAATAAATACAGACCCACACACACACAAATAACAGGATTCCCCATATCTTCCCATAGTTTCTGGGCTTTTGTCTTCACCCCCCCACTTCCCATATTGTCCTATGCTTTCTAAGGAATCTGTGACTGGTCTCCCAATTTTCCCGTTTCAGGTTTAGCCCCAGGACAAACCCGGTCAGGGACCCCGGGAGTTTGTCAGTTAGATTCCTGTCCCTGAGGTGACTTTCCGTTGCGTGCTGGCTCAAGGGAAAAGGCG